CGTAAGTGATAAAAAATGAACGACTGAACGCATGACTTTTTGCAATTTTAGATAAATTATCGGCTTATGTCACACTATTATTGTTAGCTAAAATGAATATTAGGTTGATGATGCATAAATAACCTTGTATCTATGGTTTTTATTTGTTTATTTTCTCAAACTTATTTATATTATTTTCTTAGAATTACTTAATCAATCGAACCCACCTAAACATCACTGCAACCTCGCTTTCACCCTCAACACAAGGACGATTAGAATGAAAAAACAGATATAGATATTATCTACTATGTCAACGCAAAATCATGTTTTCCCAATATTTTCCACATACATGGATTGGTATCATGGTTGCCACACTTTACTTTAAAAAAAATTATTTAATTTAAATTAAAGACTTAAAATTTCATCAACTAAAACTGAAAATTACATAATATGAAATTAAAGCATTGAAAATGTAAATATAAATGTACGAATAAGAATTACAAATTATATTTATTTTTTATTGCGACTTTTACCGTCATAGCCCCTACGAGATTATCCATAGTAAGCTAACTCACGTCTTGCATTAGATTTTTCATTTCCTTTAGTCAGTCCTTTTCATACGCCCTTCCTTCTATAAGTCTATATGCTTCTTCAAACTCATAATCAAGTTCACGAACTCCATTCTTATTACTTGAATTTCATCCAAAGGGACGACACCTGACGATATCACTTTTCCCCTTCTTTTGGATTTATCTCTACCCATCAAACGAGTAGGAGCTTGAACCTCGAGTACGCCATCGTTTAAGTCCGATGATTTACTTCTTTTGGGACCACCATACATATTATCCATCTTTGCAATGAGCTTCCATTTCTCACTTTCTTTTACAACATTCTAAAAGTCCTAATACTTGAAAGGCTGCAATGTTTCCTTTCGGAACATGTAGTGCACCTTCACTAAAAATGTTTGCCTCACTTTCTTCATTTTTCCATTGGTTGACCAATTTGTTGGTCATACCATTAATGTTTAAAAAAAATGTTTACATTTCCTCATTTTGTGTAAATTTGGTCTTTGCTAATGTTGTAAAAATTGAACATGAAAATGTTACACCATTTGTTGTAAATGAATAATATAACATCAAATTTGGTGTTATATTATATATTTACACCGGTGTATAAAATTGAGTGGAGTTAAAAATGACTAAACACGATTTCATGTTGTGTTGGAAATGATCCTTAAAAATTATTAAGTGGTTAGAGTGACATTGAAAAAGCTTACCATCTCAATGGTAAGATGTTTTTCAATTTTTTTTTTCAAATATTAAAAGCTTTTGAAAAAAAGCTATGATTCTTTGATTTTTTTTTTAAATTGAAGTAAAATAATTTTTAAATAAAAAAAATTACAATAATGAATACAAAATAAAAGGACCCCTTGTTACATTACATTGCACACCACATATCTACCAACCAAATATGAAAGAGTACAAATATGTTGACTCTAATAAATATGTCAAACATTTCATTAACAGCACAATAATTAAATTTCATAATATTCATATCATCGCAATTTAATTTTTCTTTGTTAAATTAATTAAATTGTTTTAAGAGTAAAATGCATGTTTGGTCTAAGTAAATGTTAGCCAATTACCGACGACATGTCGTTGTTGTTAAGTCACCCCTGGTGCTTTGTCGCTAATGCTCTAATGTCCCCGTATTGATTGTTCATATTGCTTGTTTTATTAAATGTTATTTTAATTATTAATATTTTAAACACACAAACCATACAAAAAAATTGTAGAAAACAACATTATAACAAAACCCGCATAAAACTAATATAAAATATTATATTAAAGTTATTTGTTACATGAAAACATCTACAAAACATATAATAAAACATAAAACTAATTGGATGTGTCGTTATGATTGTACATTCGTTATTGCTCCCACTATTTTTTGGATTGAGAACAATCCAAGCATGCTTTCAAGTCTCGCTCTAGACACCTAGTCATTAAGAATAACATCAATAAGATTTGTCAACAAAATAAATATGTACAAACATTGATCAAAATTATAAAGCATGAAAAAACTTATAAGTTATAACGACAAACTAAAATAAAAGAATTAACAAGCTTCCAACATAAACCAAATTTTCAATTGCACAAATATCAACATAAACCAAAGTATAAACATAAAACTAAGCAACCAATTATCAAAGTCCCAAACTACCAAACTATCAACATAAACCAAAGTACCAAACTACCAAAATTTAAACATAAACCAAACTACCCCTTACTAAACAACTAAACTATAGATGTATCAACATAAACCAAACTACCAATTACCAAAGTGCTAAACCAACATATAAAAAATAATCAACATAAACAAAAATTACCAAAGTAAAATGCATTCATTGATCCTTAGAGAACATAAACAAAGCATCGCCCCTACTGCATAAACGAGAACAAAAACAAAGAAATTGGATTCTCTAAAAGATGGATAGCTTGGATTATACGAAAAGAGAACACACCTATCATGAGAACATTCTCTCTAATAAATGAATGTTTTTTTGCCATTTATCACACTCTCATTCAATTTGCCAAATGTCATTTTGTAGTTATTTTGAATTAATTTTTTTTTCCACATGTAATTTTATGAGTTTTATTTATTTATTTATTTATTTTATTAAATTCCACATAATATTTTAATATAATAATTCCAATAAATATAATAATAAATGGATATTAATTTCATTAATAAACTTACCTTTTAATTTCAGAATTTCCAAAATTAAAACTCATTAGTTTCTTTTCTTTATTTAAATTATTTGTTTAAATTTAAAAGTTATTAATTCGAAGTTCTAAATATTTGATTAACTCATGTAATACATGAGTTTCACAACTAGTAAACAATAAAGGTGACATGGGCGTTAAGATAGACATCCAACCCATCGAACTTGATGTCACCTATATTGCCCAAATTTCTTGCAGCGTTAGTCTAATAGTTTCAATTATTGCAAAATGGTCCCGATCCAAACTAAATTAACATTACCCATTCATCCCCTAGTTGTTGTTAATACCCTTAATATGAAATCCACATGATGATATGTTGTTCTTTTTACACATACATTCATCTTAGATTACGTATTTCGTCCCCTATCCCCCGTCTCTCTCGTCCAGTCTCTTTAATAGCTAAATCACCGATCGGAGAAAGTAGAGAGATCGAGAACCAACGTCTCCTTCTCCTTAGCTACCCCATAGGCCAAATGTTGTTACTCGCTAAGAAAAAAACGACTCACAAATCATTAGCACAATCTATTTAGTATAAATTTTTGTAACCGTTGTATATTTCATAATATTTCTTACGAAAATAAATGCTTCGTGAATGTTTAACAATGTGTTTTTTGTTAGAAAAAATGTAATCGCAAATCCACGAACAAACATTACCGATTAGTGTTTTTCATTTTGTTAAAATCTGAAACAAAGTGGTTTGTGGTGACAGACCACCACTTATAAAGGACATTACGGTTGATAACTTTAAAATAAAATTTATTTTATATGATAATTATATTTAACAAGTTATAAGTACTATAAAGAAAAATCAGAATATAATGAAAATATAAAATATGGTAAATTGCATAAAAGTTACTTTATTTTTACAAAATTCAATTTTGACACTGTTTTATTTTTGTTTCAATTTAGTTACTAAGTTTTATAATTTGTTGCAATTTCGATCGTTTGACCGGTCAACTCAGTTAGCTATTGAGGTGACATGATGATGTGTCGGTTTTTTGGTGACATGACATAATGACATGACACTATTTGGTTACGTAACACTGACATTCTATGATGATGTGTCAAAATAGCATAAAAGGCACTAAATTTTCATTTTTTCTTTTCCATTTTGACACTAGTATATATATATATATATATATATATATATATATATATATATATATATATATATATAGTTTTCACACTTAATTTTTTCGTTCAATGTTGATCATTTTACATTTGAAACGGTATAAATATATTATTTATATTATAATCATATGTATAATTAAATATATAATATTAATGTAAAATATGAATTTTTACATATAAGTATATACTTTTAATGTAAGAACACGGTTTAAATATAAATAACCCTATAAAAATACAGTTTAAATATAATAAAAAATATGTATTAACTGCAACATCATTTGTAACTCAGCCATTGATACTCAATGGTTGTATGGAACTTGATAATTAATAATTGAACCATTAGTAATTAAATCAACCATATAGCTAGAAATTATGGTTTTATCAATATAACTTACGTTTTCATTTTTTTTTGATTGTTAGTCGGTTGAAATAGGTTATGGTCTGTAGTTGGAAATTATTCGATTTCAAGGATGTATTTATATGGATTCAAATTTTAAAAAACTATTTATACATTTTAAATGAAAATTGATCAATATTAAATTAAATTTAAAAAAACGAGTTCGATTTGAAACATGTCAAAATTGAAAAAAAAAATGAAAACTTAGCATCAAAATTGAAAAAAAATGAAAACTTAATATTTTTTGTGCAATTTTATTTCAATTTTGATACGGCATCATGTCAATTCAGTGCCACATAACCAAATAGTGTCATGTCAACATGCCACATCACCAAATACTGACACGTCAGCCGATAACCAGATTTGACACGGATAACCGGATTGACCTGTCAAATGATTAAAATTACGAAAAATTAAAAAACTTAATTACTAAAATGAAATAAAAATCAACTTTTTATATAAAAGATAATGACTGTGTAATTTACCCAATAAAATATAATTTCGATAAAGAAATGAAGTGATATGTAGGTGTAGGAACTTTAGTTTGATGGGTATCTTACTATTGGAGTTGCCCTCGGTATGAACACAGAGAAAAGAAGCGGTGGGACAACGATGGGGCCATAACCACATGGATGCTGTCATGGTGACCAGACAGCTTTTGGCTCCAATATCCAACCTACAAAAATCGCAGCAGGTCCGATTTTTAGCGTCATCCGGGACAAACCCTGACCATTCCAATAAATTCAGATTCCCATCAACATTTCCTCAAACACCTTCCTTGCAATTTCAAATAACCAATAATATCTCACTCCTTCCGTAAGCTCACTGCACCCAATCTACCCTTCATCTTCTTCTTTACACCACTCTACTCACCGGTGACTCCACTTCTGAAGCTTCTCCGTTTGTATTAGGTAACGGTTTCCTGTTCAAATGCATTTTCACCTTCTGTTACGTGTACTACTTCGTCATCTTCGTTCAATTAAATTCTATTCAGCTTTTTTCCTAGCTTTATGGTTGTATGATTAATGTCAACATTCTGATGTATCCATTAATGTGCTTTTAATTCCGTAATCTCCCTTTCTTAATCGTAGAAAACGCGTTTTTCTTATCCGCTTGTGGGGTTTGTTACTTTGATTGTATGGTTTCGTACTTGGAACTTTGAAGTATCTGTACCTTCACGAGCGTCCACTGGTCCACTGATGACCACATGGAATTCAATTTACAAACTGTTAGCTATCACCCTACGTATCGATGCTCATGCTATGATGATTTTGCATTTATGTTTATACCCCATTGATTATGATGTTTTGGCTACAAGGAATTGATTTAAGTAGATGGATAATCGTTTTACACGATATACAACAATTATCTAACCCCAGGTTTACTTAAACTGCAGATTTCTCTCGATCAACACTCGTTTATGTAGTTTTCTCCAAATCATAACTCACTTTAGGAGGTATAAGAATCAATCGATACAATGCGAGAGTGCTATTCGCCAGAATCCAGATCCATGAACAAGGATTCAACTTCATTTCGTAATTCTGGTGCATACACAAGCCCAGGTACTCCCGATTACGGGGATAACCATGGGAGAGGATTTCAAAAGGGTTGGTGTTCAGAGAGGATACCATTACCAAACACCTGTAACAGAAGGCGTATCAGTGCCAACATCTTAATGCCCTTCAACAATGGCAGAACACTACCTTCAAAATGGGACGATGCAGAAAGGTGGATCACAAGTCCAGTGTCTGGTTCTGGTTCTGGTGTATTCAAGACTCAAGCACCACCACCACCACCTCAGAGAAGACCTAAGTCAAAAAGTGGACCACTGGGGCCCACTCCTGGGACTATTACATACTCTTCAAACTATTCACCTGGATTCCAGTTTCTTGAAGGTGGAAACACGAATAATGTGTTCATGGGTTCACCATTTTCAACTGGTGTTTTGGTACCTAATGGATATTCTTTTCATCATCATACTGGTGAAAAGATTGATGAAAACAATGTTACTTGTGTTGTCTCAAGGCGAGATATGGCTACCCAAATGAGCCCAGAAGACTGCCCGGAGTCCTGCCCGGATGGAAGGTTGTTCCTCTCCACCTCTCCTCCACCAATTCCTTCACCTGTGGAGGATCGCCGCCAGCAAGTCAGGGATGTCCAGGTGGACAAAAGAGTCACCATGACAAAGCAAACAAAAAGAAACACTAGGAGAGTTGAAAAGAATCAGTCAACAGAGATCAATGACTTGGCTTTGACTTGGAATAATCCTACAGAAGGAGAAATGGAATTGTCAAAGTATGTCTCTAAGACTCTTAACACTTTTCATCAAAATCTTGTTTTTTTAATCTCTAAATATTTTTAATGTGTTTGAAGGCTCCAAAAAGAGGAAGCAAGGATTGTGGCTTGGGAGAATCTGCAAAATGCAAAAGCAGAGGCATCAATTCGAAAGCTTGAGGTGTGTAATATGTTCCATTTCCATCATCAAAATTAACCACAGATTAATTAATTTTTAAAAGAGAAGTAAATCTGGTTATGTCTTTGATTTACAGATGAAATTGGAAAAGAAGAAATCAGCATCTATGGAGAAAATCATGAAGAAGCTTACAATTGCACAAATGAAAGCTCAAGAAATGAGAAAAAAGATGTCAGCAAGTGAGGCTCCTAGAACATCTCGCAAGTTCATATCCTTACACAGATATCCAAAGATTTCTCTCACTTGCTGCTTTTTTGTTCATTAATCCTCCATTGAATCAGGTGAACTTTAATTCGTGTTTTTGTATGTAACTATTGGTTGATTAATTGATTTGGTTCTCCTTTTTATATTTTTTTTTCTTCTGCAGTTTGGAAGTGGCAATTGAAGATATGGGTGATAGGGTAGATAACTATGGTACAGTTTGTGCTTCACTATGAAAATGGTGGACTATAAGCATCTTCTTCGTGGGGAAAATGCAAATTTTGTAATGAGTGGATGTCCATGGACTATTTTTAGAGGTTTTAGTTAAGGTAAATGATACATATGCATAATCAACATCGTTTTTAATGAATCTAGGGTAAATCATTGCAGAAATGATTTGGAACATGTTATTTTGCCTAAAGCTATAAACACTTAAATACATGCAAATGTGTTTATAGTAGATTTTGATGCTCTGCTAATGCAAGTGTGTGTGATCATTTGCTTGTATGTAGATGACATGTTAGTTTTTGTATCAACCAAAACCACGTATATAAAACAAAGAAGTTGTTATCATCTAAATTTTCATAAAGGACATGGGGTGGGTGGGTGGGTGTGTGCAATGTGAGACAAAGATTAAATTAGTTAACAAAGAGATTGTTATTACATAATCATATTATTTTGAGAAAATTCTTAGTAAGTTTAACTATGGTGATTTTCTTACATCATCATTTTTATGGATCCTAGTGTGAAATTAATGTCAAATATAGGCAATTTTGTATCATAACGAGAATACTATAAGGCCATTGGTCGCTTGATGTATGCTACAACAAATACTAGGCATGATATTGTTTATGTCGTGGAGAGGTTGAGTAACTATACTAGTAATTTTGGTATTCGACATTGACAAGCAGTTCAAAAAGTATTCAAACATCTTAAAAGAACTATGAATTAGTGTTTGAGTTATTTGGGATATCCTTTGATTTTAGAAGCCTATTCGGATGCAATTTGAATATGCAACATGGATGATTATTCCTTTATGAGTGTTTAGACATTCTCTCTTGGGGGAGATGTCATCTCCTCGACATTTAAAAAGGAAATTTACATTATAATATTGACATTGAAATATGCGTTCATTATATTAGTTACTGCCGATAAAGAGGTAGAATTGCTAAATAATTTAATTTATGAGATTCCATTGCGATCAAAATCGGTTACATCTATTTCTTTTTATTGTGATAGTGATGCTACTTTGGTATAAAAATTTCTTTGGTAAATTATATTGTAAGTACATGAAAAAAAAAGAATTACTTATGTGATTGTGAAGTGTAACCGTTGATGACTTGACATTTATACAATCATTAGAGAATTAAGAACACAATTTTACAGAGAACACAACTTTATAATTGTGCCAAGTTTTATTTTACGAGACAAGTATAAAAATTTCTATGTATTTTGTCTTCAAGTATTCAAATGAATCGGTTCAATTCTTACAACATTCCAATTATCGAATATTTGGAATGTGTAAAATGCTAAAATGAGAACTCAATTAATTATATATATTTATTTATGTACAAGTTTTGGTTTATTTACCTACTGTAAATTTAAGGGATGCATTAAAATGAGAGATAATTGTTGGTGACTTTGGTCATTTAGTTTAGTTAGAATTAACACAAGTGCCATTGGGGATTTCAACTATGATCTAATACAACTTAGGTGATTCGAAATGCACACTTGTATGTAAGTCGGGTTTGATCCCAAACATGACATAATACGAGGGTCAAGGGGGTCGTGACTCTTTGCACGATATAAGGGGTAGAGCCCCTTGCAGGGTCTAAATGTCAACGCCCCAAAACCTATATAGATAAATTGGGACCTGAAATGTCTTAGAAAACATGATACTAAAAGAATGATGAATAAACATGTGGATGCTGGGTCTACTCGGAGGCAGATCACGCTGCCTGACAACAAGCTGCCCGTCGGTCAATTTTGCAAGGCAACTGAGCCGCCTGTCGATTTTTTCTGGTACCGTTTTTAAGCTAATAAAATCAAAATTTTCGTTCATTTTGTCAAGATTTCATATAGATATTTATATATACTTATATTTGGATAATTTTTGAATAAGCACATATATACTCTCCAATAACGTATTGTTTGTTTTGTACCCAAGACTTAAAGTGTCCTTAAATATTTATCCCATATTGAATTTATTGAAACCCAAACATATTTGAGAAATATCAATACGAAAGTAAACATACACGCTCTTTAAGAAATATATATTTTTTGATGACCAAAACATCCTATTTCGACCTACATCTTACTTTTGTGATACCCAAATGGGCTAATATCAATCCATTTGAACATGACATACTCTCGTAGTCTTAATGCTCCAAAGGAAGAGTACCCTTATTAAGCTATCTTCATGCTCTAAAGGAAGTAGGGGTGTATAAAAATGCTGAAACAGAAAAACCAATTTATTGGTTTTTGTTTTTTCTAAGAACCGAATTTTTAGATACAACTTGGTTTTTTAATATATGTAAACAGAAAAAACCAAAATGAACCGAAATACCAAACACAACATTGTTTTATGTATAAGTGTAATTGATTGAATATATTTTTAATTTGACCCAAACTAACTTTTATTTTGCCATTCTTAATCTTGAATTTTTTTATACATATAAGACACTGTGTGATAGAGATAGAATCATCTTATTAATCAAGTCAACATTATATATTTTTTTAATAATAATATTAACTTGGATTATTTTTTAAATCACACAAAATATTAATTACCTTTTTATTGAACATCCCAAACAAGACATGAGCTACAGTTCGAATGAAAGGATTTATTTTTCAGAAAAAACTTCAAATTTTGTAAATATAAAAGATGAAACTTTTATAGTTTATTATTGGAAAATCTACATAAAACTCCATATATTTTGGCTTTATTGACCAAAAAAACAAAACAACCATTTTTTGTTTCTTTTGTTGCAATTTAATTATTGAAACCGATAAACACTTACAAAATAACATTGTAACCGGTTAGTGCCAGTTTTAAAGGTAAAATTGCAATATATATATATATATATATATATATATATATATATATATATATATATATATATATATATATCATGAATGACTTTTTCGTTAATAAGATTAAAGTTTAAAGACTTTTTCTGAAGATTTTTTTTATACATACTAATTTTTTTTGAAGATAACTTATATTTATTTATTAAAAAACTCAAAATAAAGATAATTTTTTATTAAAAAACTCAATAATGAGAATTTTATATCATTTTTGGAATTTTGTGATTCTTTTTAATAAATATCATTACTACAATCATAGAGATATCATCTATATCCTATATAACTTAAGAAGACATTGCTGATTTGTTGCAAGAAGTACATTTCTAGGCTAAATGCTACTTTATTGTTGAATTTTTAGGTCCTGAGTGTAAAATGTTTACCATAAAACTACAACTTACCAATTTTTTTTTCTTCACAATTGAACGACATCTCAGAAACTAAAAGCTTATCAGTTGTTGTTATTCATAAATAGAGCTTCATTATACACACTATGTGGCCTAAAAACACACTTCTTATGACAAATCAACAAAAACACACTTTTATCAAGTTTTGCATCCTCTTAGCCGGTTACCATTGCCATAAAATCCCCAATATTTACACATCACCACCACAACACTTTGTCACTACCACCACCATTTTATCAAGTTTTGCACCCACTTAGCCGACCCACCATCATCACCACCGTCCACCTACCATTCATTCTCTTCATAACCTGATAAAAAAGCCCAAAACGACAAAATTTACCTAAATGTGAGACATTAATGAACACAAATTTAGACGTAGGACATAACCACACATTTCATGTAAATATGAAGGCTTTTATGACAATAAACCAAATATAAGAGCTACAATAGTTATAAAAACACATGTTAAATACAATTAATATGAATTTTATTGATTTGTTGTAAGGAGTGTGTTTCTCGGTCGCATATATCATGGAGCTCTATTTAGGAATTATATTTAGATGATATCTTTATGATTGTAGTCATGATATTTATTAAGGAGAATCACAAAACAAATCCCAAAAATGATGTATAAATTATCATTATTGTGTTTTTCAATACAAAATATGAGTTTTTTTTAGTGAAAGGGATATAAATGATATCTTTATTTTATATTCTTTAATAAATAAATATAAGTTTTCTTCAAATAAATTTATATATATAAAAAAGAAAATCTTCAGAAAAATCCTTAAACTTTAACCTTATTAATGAGAAAAGTCATCCATGGTTTTTTTAACCCTTAAACCGACACTAATCAGGTACAAATGTTGTTTTGCAAGTGTTTACCGGTTTCAATGATTAAACTGCAAATAAATAAATAAATAAATAAATAAATAAATTCAAGGGTGAATTTTTTGTCAATAAAGACAAAATATAAGAACTTTATGCAGATTTTGGTTTATTGTTTTTAGAGTAAATTACACGGATGGTCCTTATGGTTTAGGGTAACTTGCAAGTATGGTCCCTAACTTTTTTTTTAACTCAGACCGTCCCTATGACATGATTTTGTTGTGTGGTTGGTCCCCGAATGAGGTAAAAAGACTTTTATACCCTTATATGTTTATTTTTATTTTTATGTTATTTATTAATCATTTTAAATTAAAAAAAGACACAATAAACCCACCCATACCCAAAGTCCCACACCCATCAAATGCTCCACCCAATCCACCCCTCTTTCTTCCTTTCCTGTTACAGGTCCTCCACTCCATGTACTAGACCTCTACGTCTTCTCCGACAGTCCCGTCTTTTTCGACGAGTTGATCACATGAAGAACGAAAGAACACAAACCTAGGAAAATAAATTACCGTCCCGATATCTTCAACACCATCCTTTTTTGGTTCCGATCTCCTCCACCATGGCTTCGTTTTTTTGCATCTAATAGTTAAATTCTTGAATAATTTTGAGTTAGAAATTTGAATCCTTGAATACATGAGACGATTTTAAGAAATCAAGTTTCAGAACTCAGATTTTCTGGAAAACCCTCACAACTGTCGAACAGGAAAACCCACACCAACATCGAGTTTCAGATTAGTGTGTTAAGTAAGCTTTAGAGTGCATATTGTGGATTGGGGTCAGTGGTTTATGGAGGGGGAAAATAGATATGAGAGGATTTAGGATGTTGCCTATCGGTGATGGTGGTTCGAGTTAGGGTCTTTTTAGTTGGTAGGATTAGTGCAAACAATTTTCAGTTTTGAATCAAAACATTGTAGATTTTGGAGTGCCCCCTTCCCAATTCTTAGATCTTTTCCCTTTGTTTACTCGAGAACTAGGCAGAGGTGGACGCAAGATTCCGTAGTAGGTGTTACC